AGGGGGCACCTGCGCCGGCTCACCTGATCTCCATCTCCGTGTTGTTCATCCTCTGGCAGTGTACCAGCAGCTGCTGCAGAAGCCGGTGTGCTTTGGACATCTGGTTCTGGGCTTGGAGCACCACCGCTTTCCTGTGCCCGAGACACAAGGCAGGGAGCGCACTGAGCCTGAGTGGGGGCTGTCCCCTCCAGGTGTGCGCCCACTCAGCTCCCAGAGACCCAGACCACACGGCCTCCGAGGGTTCCCAGGCTGCAATCCCTGGCACAGCCAGAGCCTCAGGGACGGGGAGGAGGGCATGGGCCGGGCGGGGACACCAGGAGTCAGTGACCCAAGAGCACCTCACACAGCACCTTGCCAAGATGGAGAGGGATCGCCTCACATATTCTGGGTAAGTTATCAGGAGGGACAGTCCCTGGGGAAAGTCGAGGAACAGCAAGGAGGGAACCCCTCAACGGATGACTGACAGATGGCTGCTCCAGTGCATGAGGCCCGGCAGAGACGTGAGGACAGCACGGGCTCTAAAGGCTTCGTTCTGCTGGGGCTCTGCTGGGGGGTGGATGGGCCTGAGGGCCCCTCCCGACAACACTCTCTACAGAAGCAGGCAGCCCGCCCTTTCTCCAGACCTGCCACATACGTTCGCACCACCATCTGGCAGGTAACAGCCGACTGTCTGACCACTGCCCCACCAGGGTTCCTTGTTTTGAGGGTTAGAACTTATTAATTTCTCAATAAACCTGTAAATCTCCCTCAGAGACGGCAGTGCCTATGATGATGGGTATTCAGTAAAACATTACATGTGTATGCATGTGTGTAAAAGCACAAGTGTGTATACACTCAAACACCCAGCCCCGTTCTGGAGTTACAGATACTACAGTGTTAGTGATCCTCTCTGGCTGAGAAGAGTTTCTACCATTTTGCTTATGTAAGTAGACAGTGAACAGAAAAACTATTTTCTTAAGTTATAAATCAATTAATATTGACTCCATTCACCAACCGTAATGCATAAATAAAAAGAAAGCCACTCTCAAGCTGCCGGCAGCCCGGGGCTGGAGCTGCGGCCGGCTCTCACCTGTACACGCCCTCCGTGCTGTTGAGAGCTGTGATTCCGGCCACCAGCGAATCAGCCAGGTGGTATTTGCCATCGTTGATCGCTCTGTCGAACTGGATTTTCTGATCACACAGCATCCACAACTGAAGGAAAAGGAGAGAAAGCCACTCACCACTCAGTGAGG